CCAAATAAATTAAAATGTCTAAATGTAAAGTAACCACCTTAAGACATGTAGCTCATTAAAGGTATTTTAGACCAAATTTCAACCAAAAGCGAGGCAATAAAAGGGGGAAATTTTTTCTTAGGTTCTTTGAATCGAAGATGTTTAGCGCTTTTATGGCTAAGGAGGGCTAAAATTATATATATTCAATAGGATGCACCAAAAAGACAAAAGAATTTCAAGCATGCAAAATGATGCTTTTAATTGCATTTATGCTTGGTTATATTTACTAAGCTTTAACTCACTGTTTTTTCTTGTGGTGTAGGTGAGTAAAACAATGCTTAAGAATTTGTCAAATCATGTACTATAGGTCTAGATTTAAGATTTGAAGGCTAAATCAATATTAGATTTCGACCACTTCGGAAATGATCTAGATTCGATCATTTTGAGTTGTTTAGGTTGATCTTTTGATCATTTAAGATATATATATATATTGTTGGGATTAAAGGATAATGAAATCTTTATGTCAATTTTAGATATATTGCTAAGTTAGTTTAATTTGGATGCATTGAGGTTTATTGAATGGATTTAGGTTTGATTTATGCATGTGTTGGTTTTAATCAAAGAATGGAAATGAAATGGTATACGATTTTATAAATGGTTTAAGTTGCATAATAGGTTGCGAAAATTTTGTTAGGCATAAATGTTAAAAGTTTAGGAAGCCTTGAGCTTTAGATCGAATAAGGAAATTCTATTGTGTATTGTAATAGAGATCCAAGATAGAGGACAAAGTGCATTGCTTTGCACTTTCATGTGTGAGATAGTGTAGTAGCACTTTTGGCTTTTTGTTGGGCCTTGAGAGTCACATATAAAATGCTCAATTTTCTCGCTTTGCTTTCTCCTCATCCATATATTTATATTTGGTTTTTACTTAATTTCCATTACTTGTTTTGCTTTTTTTTTTCCTTATTTTTTGTTGTGAGCTTTTGTTTTCTTTTCATGTGCTTAAGTATCATACAAGAATAAATCAATAAAAGTTGAAGATCTTGGTAACTAAGAGATGTTAGATGATGAAAATAAGGGATTGCTAGTGTTAATTATAAATGTAAAAAAAAAATGGGAAAAAGATTCAAGAGAGACGACAAAATGAAGAATAGGAAGAGATGGGAGAACGACGATCTGGTATAGAAAGAGAAGGAGAAGAATTGTTTCATGCTCAGTGGGTCATACTAATCATATATAGGTTGGGGTTCATAGCATGTATAGGCCTCGATTAGCTTTAGATTAGAGTTACCTTACTTTGGGCTTGGATCGAAGTATAAAAGCCCTTAACAAAGAGGGCTTGGCCTTATATTATAAAAGAGAAAAGAAAATTGAAATTGTCTCTACTTGGATTTGAACCTACAATTTACTCGACTACTAAACTATGATGTTCCATTTATTTATTTATTTGGTGTAATTGTGTATATGTAATAGTTATTAATAAAAATTTATAGAAATTAAGGGAACTAGTCGCTTGCTCATGCTACGCTGCTTGATCTAGTAGAAAAAAATCATTTTAAAATTTTAAAATTTTTAATTTATTTTTATTTTTTTAATAAATTTTCTACTAAAAAACATAATTCTTCTTTATGGATTGATTTTAAAATAAAAATATAATAATTTTAACTAAAATATTAATGAAGAATTAAAAAAATTTTAAAAGTATAATTTTCATAATATTGTATTCCAAAAAATAAAGTTATAATTAATTGATGAGACTTTTACAAAAATTAGCAAATGAATTTTTTTTTATCTTATCTAATGTTTATGAGAAGATTAATTTTTGAAATTATCAACGCAATATTACAAGCGAGATAGAATAAAATCATTTAAAAATTTAAAAATTTTTTCATTAATTTTTTTATTTTCATTAATTTTTTTTGTGTTTTTCATAAATTTTCTACTTAAAAAAAATATGATTTATTTTTCTTATTCATGGATTCTTAAATAAAAGCTCCGAATAATTTAAACTTGAAATATTAATTAAGAATTCAAAAGTAAATACTTTAAAATTATATATATATATATATATATATATATATTTATTTATTTATTTATAAGAATGTGTTCAAAAAATAAAGTTACAATGAATGTATAGACTTGCATAAAAATTAATCAATAAAAAAGTAAAATCTTATTCTTATTTAATGTTGGTGATAATATATTTTTTTCAAGTATATTCGTTAGATCTACATATATTTACTTACAAAATAATCAATAAAATTAGCATAAAAACTATATTTGAATAATTGGTTGGTTCTTTTAAAAAATTATTATTTTTTCAAATAAATTGATTCTATAATGTTAAAAAATATTCATAGTAAATAATTTATACTATGTTGGAAGATTTATAGTTGATTTTTAGTAAAATCAACGATTCAATAGTTTTTTTGTATATGTCTTGACCATACCTAGTGAATCGAGACAAATTATTTAAAATACAATTTTAACCTTTAAGAATAAAATAATTATATATTTATATATACATAACTATCATTTAAAAATTCTAAGAATTTATGATATATATTATACCAATTTATTTTTTAAAAAAGAAAAAACCAACCATATTTTAAAATTTTATTCTAAAATTCAAACATAGAGAAAAATAAATTATATTTATCGAGTAAATAAAATTTTATATAAAAAATATTAATTGAATGAGAATTTTTATAAAAAATGATAAATTCAAATAATGAAATTTAAAAGATAAGAGTAATATAACCTCGAAGTATATGTTAATTTTAAAATATGAAAAGATAGTATACAACATAGTATATGCTATAAAACTGAAATAAATATGTTTAGTTTGGTCCCGAGCATAACGCAAAAATATGAACTGTTCATATGTCTAAATTCTTATTCACTTACTATTCATATGCATAAAATTACTATTCAATTGATAGAAATTTAAGTGATTTTTGCGTGTATTTTTGGGCATTAATATGCAAATTTAATACTTTTTTTTATTTTAGTCCCTCATATTGTAACATTTTTTTCAATCCTTAGTTTTTTTTTTCATTTTCACGTAGCATATATGCTGTGCGAAAATATGAAAAAAAGCATGAAAATGAACAAAAATAAAAACTAAGGATTAAAAAAAAATGTTACAACATAAAGGACGAAAAATAGAAAAAAAAAGTATTAAATTTGCAAAAAAAAATGTTACGGTAAGTGAATAAAAATTTTACACATATGAACATTGATCGAATTGAACATATATATTTTAGTTTGATAGCATATACTTGTATTGTTGGTTAATTAAAACATATTAAATTAAATATAAAAGATAAACTTTCATCTAATTCTATAATTTTTAATCAAAATTTTGTATCTATACATATATTTTTATGTTTTGAATAAATTTTAAAGTAAAAAAAAATGATTTGTTCTTTCTTATGCATTTATTCTTAAATAAAATCCCATAATAAATAAATTTTAATATAAAATTAAAAAAAACATCTTAATATTTTTTTTATTACATTGCATCGAAGAAAGAAAGCAACAATTAATATAAAATCTTGTATGAAAATTAACAAATGAAACTTTTTTATCGATGAGAATTTTTTTTAAAATATATACGTTTAATTTATATATATTTATTTACAAAATAATGAATAATATGAGTATGCAAAATTATATTTGAATTATTAGGCAGTTATTCTAAAATATTATTTTAATTATTTTATTTGAAAAAAATCATTCTAAATTCTAAAAAAATAATAGCAAATAATTGGTATTGTGTGTATAGATGCATAGTTGATTTCTAATAAAATCAATGACTATAATGTTATTATTTTTTTATACGTCATGACCATAGGTGAGAATGTGTATTTTAAAAAATTAAATGGTAAAATATAAATTTGAAGTTAATAGAGTGTAATAAAAACTATAAAACTAATTTTGATAAAATTTGATTATATAAAAAAAAAATACATATATTCAGTTTTTAAAATTTGATTATATAAGAATTAAGCAAATAAAAACATGTATATAAAAAAACGTATTTGAATTCAAACATATAAAAAATAAATCATATTTATTAATAGATAAAGTTATAAAAAAATAAGAATAAAAATTAACTTGATGAGAATTTTTATAAAAAAAAATCAATTTTAAACAATAAGAGTAGTTTATATTTATTCTAAAATCTAAAAACATATCATATAAATGTAAAAAATATTATATTTATTATATAATCATCGGTTTGTGTGGGAAAAAAATAAGGATTGATTTTTTAAAATTTTAACACCTAATTAAATAAAAAAACATAAATTGACGAAAAAAATCAAAGGAAAAAAGCAAAGGAAAAAAAGAAAAGAAAAGGCATGCATAGTGCATCAATTAGGGGATTAAAAATTTTATTTTAAAATTTTAGAGACCAAAATAAAATAACTTGAAAATAAAAAAAATTAAATGAGAAAAGAACCTAAATTCATGAAAAAACAAAGAGAAAAAGAAAGAAAGAAAATACAGGTACAGTGAAACAATTATTTTAAAATTTTAGAGACTAAAATGAAATAATTTAAAAATTTTTAAAAAATAATCAAAATGAAATAATCTGAAAACTAGTTACAAGAATAAATATTGATTTATAAAGAAATAAACAGTCATTTTTACTGTTTAAATCTCCATCGCTTTATAGAGCAATAGTAATACTAATAGTAATAGTAATTAGAGAGAGATAAGAAGGACGTAGTGGAATGTGGTCCGTGTGTCAAACGATGGATACAGAGAAGAACACGATGCTCTTCTTCATTCAATCATTTTTATGACTGCTTCCTTACTTAAATTTATTTTCTTTTTATTTCAATTTTGCTGCTATTGCTCCTCCTGCCTCCGACTATTAAATTTCTGACGAAGAACAGTCAATCAATCAATAAAGGACCTCTCTTCCCCCACACCCCCACAAAACACCCCCGGCCCCCACCCCCCCGAAGAAGAAGAAAATAAGAAGAAAAGAAGAAGAATTGGTTTCAAAGCAAATGTCAGGTGAAGCATCGTCGTTGTCATCTGGACTGGTTTTACAAGGAGTCGACGATGTTGAAGACTACATTTGGGTCTGTCTGTCCGTCATTCAACTTCTCTCTCTCATTTTTTATTTATTTTCCTTTTTCGCAAATATTTGGTTTCTTCTTTTCGTACAAAATGTGGGTAACATAACATGCGGTATCAATTTCCAGTTTTGAGTTAACCAATTGGTTTTCTTGTTTTGGCTAGATTTCTGTGATTTTCTCTTTTCCTCTTTTGACTGATTGCCTGCTGAGAAAATGTGAAATAGAAAATGAGAAACTCAAGCATAGTTGTTGATTAGTTTTTTTTTTAGTTTTTGAGCTGAGAAAACAAGAATCAATTCTGAACTGATCAAATATAAATATAAATAATACAAGTGTTTGGCTATTTTAAAGTGATCTTTTGTTTTTTTATTATTTGTGGAATATATATATATGTATATATATTTTCATTTTGATTGTTTCCTCACTTAAGTTTTGTATTGTTTTTTCTTGTTTGTTTATTTCCTTTGATAATTGAGATGAATTTGTGGAAGGACAATAATTTCATTCGGTCTATTGCTTTGTTTCTGTGTTTAGGTTGCTGAGAAATTCAATGATGAAAAGGCACAAAAAAATTGATAAAGAAAAAAATTAAAATAATCTGCCTTCATTATATACTCAAGTAAGGAATGCACATTTCTTGAGTCAAAGTTTTTGGATCAATACAAGTTTCTGCCTTTTCAGTGACAAATTACAGTTTCTCCAAACAGGATCTTTTTTCTTCTTCTTCTTCTTATTATTTTTGGGGGGAGGGGGGTGGGGTTGGTTATTGTAAAATTTGTTAAGTATTATGGAAAATTACTATATTTGGCTCAATAAAGGTTCTAGAATCTAGTTACTATCGGACCTAAAATTTGCATACAATTCAAGAGATGGGATTTTGTCTTATCGATTTGATGCACTTTCTGGAAAATTATCTTTACATTGTGGAGTTTTTATTGTGTTGTTGATTATGTAATACACGCTGTATTTTTGGAATCTGAATGAGAGAATGTTAAAATGCAGGCAAATGAAGGAGAGGGTTCATTGCCATGGGACCGATTCAGTCATGTTTTTGATCTTGTGCAAAATGGAAACCAGGCATTCCGGGAGAATCATTTTGAGGAGGTGATTTTTTTTTTTGCTTTAACTCTGTGCCTGCTTTCCACTTTCCATTGTATTTTTTGCAGTTTATTAAGGGTGTATGAAGCAGACGACAAAAGACTAAGATTTATGTGTTTTATTTAAATTTTAGAATGCAAGGGTATTTTAGTGTTTTTCTTTTTTTTTTTTAGTTATGCTGGAAATCCATCTAGGTCTAGGCTTTATTTCTGTTTAGTGTTTTATTAGTCCTGAAGTTATTAGGTTTTCTATTCCTAAATAGGAATAGTTATAGGTTTTCCTATTCTAAATGGGAATAGTTAGGTTTAGGAATCCTTGTCCTAATTGGATTCGGACTTCTACAACTCTATAAATACAATATGTAGTCTTTCAATATTTAGAAGGAATAATATCAAATAATTTTCAGCAATTTGCTTTTGATTATGTAACTCAATCTCCCTTAGGTGTGACTTCTAAGAACCCTAGGTGTGAAGCTTAAGTTTTCTATCCTCTAGGTGTGATTCCTAGAAACCCTATTAGTGTGACTCTAATAGTTCTATAATTCGCAGTAAAATCCACATCAACACAGACCTAAACAGCCCTAAACCACCTTCAAAGATAGAATAATTTCTATCCTCTAGGTATATATATATATAATACAAAAAAGAAGGACAAATGAGAAGGTGCAAAGTAACAGGTGGCGAAGTTAATTACCCTGTAATGGAAGTTAGGCTTGGCATACAGTGTAAAGAATGCTTGAATACTGACAGTTGAGCATTAATTTAAGGCTTACCAACAATGTTCCTTTTCAATTTATGCGAGCTTTTTTTGTGAGTAAATATGAATGTCTAAACTGTACTGGGAGATGACTTGTGAGCAATACATGAATTGAGTAGGGGATTGTAAAACCATCACTGACCACTACAGTGGTCTGCTTTATGGCAGCACTAACCCCTTAATCCAGGTTGCATTTTCTACATACATGTCCTTCCCACTCCAAGTTGCCCAATTCTTAGGTTGCCTTTTTGTAACTCAAGTCTCCAGAAATGTTAGTCAAACTCCAGATGTAGCTGTGCTCTACAATGATATGATTAACCAGCATGGTTTACTGATGAAATGCAAGGGAAAAGTGATTTTGTTTTTTGTTTTTTTTTTTTTTTGTTTTTTTTGTGAAAATAGTACAATTAATTACATCCAAATCACCTTTAGATTATTTAAGTGTCTAGAGGATGATTTTTTTTTTATTTAATTTTTTTTAGTAGTTCTTTTTTATCTTTTTCCACATTGAAATTAAAATATTATCATAGCCTTAGTCCCAAAAGAAGTGGTACAGAGAAACATTTTTATGGAGCTATTGGTATTTTATTCATTGGTTTCAAGGTTTTAGTAATGTTAGCAAATGGTACTTGTGGTCAGGGAGATGGTGATGTGAGAAATTCTTTAGTGGAGTAGGAGAGGTGCAGGCAACAGTTTATGTTATGTTTACCCTTTAAAAGGTAATACTAACTCAAATATGACCTCATGTTGGTAGAAATTCTAAAATATTGTTTCGAAAAAATGTTTTCAAATATCTGTCTTGTATGTAGATATGGTCATCAATGTTTTGACAGGTGTCTGTAGCTTTTATTGTGGGGGACTCGCTGGGCCTAATTTTCCTTGAATTTGTAATCCTTTCTCTATGGTGGAAACTAAATCTAAATCTATTTTTGATGATAACTAATGAAAAATCGTCTAAATCTTGCTGCTTTTTTTTTTTTTTTTTTGGGGTCACATTTGTTGTTTAAGGATGGAGAAGAAATTAAGGGTTTGAGTGTATGATGATTTGGTGCTTTTGCAATGTGCATCTCCAAAGAGAATGAATCTGTTAGTGGGGTATGTTGTTTTAAGATATGCAACTAGTTTGCCTTAATCCAAAAAAAAAAAAAAAAAAAAAACGATAAAGAATACAAACTTTAACCAATTACTGAAATAGGTTCGTTTATTACTGATTTTTTCACCTCTACTTGAAAATTAAACACTTCAAATGTAGGCTGATAAAATGAATATCTTGTGTCATAATGTTGTGTTAATATACTACAAATATGTTGCTGATAATTTCAGTCCCTTTCTCAGGCAATCAATTGTTATTCAAGAGCCAATAACATCAAACCTGGTGATCCTATTATTCTTGGCAACAGAAGTGCTGCTTATAGCAGGTTTGTTTTTACTGATAAATTATTCTCTCTCTTTAATTATTTATTTGGTTTGCTCCATGTATTTAAAAGGTGACCATTCAGCTATTTTCTGGAAGAATTTTGATCTAAAGTTTAATTAATGCTATGGCAACCTCTCTCTTAACCAGGATTAGCCATTTCCTGAAACAGAGACCTGCATCCACTTCGGAATACAGGCCATTAAATGGGCTGGATCCTACTATACATGCTGAAGTATGTGCCAAATATTTCTGGTCTAAATTTCTGAGCTTTTCATTGTTCTGACTGGGAAAGCATGTTTAATATTTTTCAGCTTGCATTAAAGGATGCCGACAAGGTGATAAACCTCAGAAACAATTCAGTGAATCCATACATCTTAAAGGCCAATGCTCTTTTGTTGGTTAGTGCATGTTCTTTATCTTTTCTGTTAGGAAGGGAGCCTAGACAAGGTTTCTAGGACTCCTTCTTTTCATATGCTTGATATCTTTTTCACGAATTAACGTTCAAACTCGGTGAATGGGCAGCTGGAAAAATATGAGTTGGCTCAGGACATTATTCTTGCTGGTCTTCAGGTTGATCCTTTCAGGTATTATTTTGTTTCTTTCACCATACTTTTTGTTTTCTTCTTTCGGTTCTCTTAGCTTCCTTGGCTATGCAGATAGGAGACAAGAGTCCTAATTGTCTTTATTATCTCTTAGAAAGTGATGAAGATGCGAGTATATAGTTCAATTAATACTTAGTTGGCTATGGATTGGTAACAATATTATTATCTTTCACCTGTTTGATATAACATATATCTTTTACTCTCTTCTTCTTTATTTTTTTTCCCTAAAGTATTCTGGTAATATGTAGCAATCCTCTTCGTGTTTCTCTACGGAATTTGGAGAGCATGTTGCCCACTATGATGAGTAAAAGCCTTGGGAAACCAGAACGTAGTGATGACTTTGATTGCACACTCTGCCTGAAGTTACTATTTGAACCTGTTACAACCCCCTGTGGGCATTCCTTTTGCCGCTCATGTCTTTTCCAGTCAATGGATCGTGGTCAGTGTTTTGCTGTTTATCTTCATGTTTCCAGCTATGCCAGCGCATCTATTCACTTAATTTGTTTTCTGATGCTGTTTTAAATGTTAGGTAACAAATGTCCATTGTGTCGAACGGTTCTCTTTATCAGTCCTAGATCGTGTTCAATCAGGTGAGTTAATTATCTGGTTATATTTTTTAGAAAATTTATTATAGAGAATCATTCCTGATCCTCACCTAATGGCTTAAACTTTTAGGTTTTATGATAATGGCCCAAGTGGTCATGACTTATTATTTTGAAATCCTACCACCTCTATCCTCTCTTCTAATTAAAATTAAATTAGCTCAAGGTTTAAAGCATTTTAAGGCTTTCATTTAGGAGATGTGTTAAAATATATGATATAAAACCATTCTTGAGGTTTGCCTGAAAACTTAAACTTTTACATTGAGTGGTTCTTTAACATTAATAATTAAATTACAGTATGAGAAATGGGTTGATGGAAGAACCGTTTCTTGTTTATATATGATGCTTACATAAGCAATTTAGCTCCTGTAGTTGGTCTTGAGGTAGCTATCCATAATTTGTCAAGCGAGATGTAGGTGAGTTGGTAGTGTAAAAAATTGAGCATTTGAAAAAAAAAAGAAAACTGTGAATTGATATGAAGCAGGAAATATTGATTGTATTGCTGTACCTCTACTGGTATTACAACTTACATATATATAGCTAAATATAGCATCTAAACTAGAAAATTACAAACTAGAAAATTAAAGCTATAAATCTTTCTAAACTCCTTGATTAAAGCCTTAAATTTCTATATTTACATCCTAAAATACACCCGAATATTCTAAATAGAATATTTCCTATTCCAACACTCCCCCTTAAGCTGGCTTGTAAATGTCTTCCATTACCAGCTTGCTTATTAGAAAATCAAATTGTTTTTTCAGTAGACCTTTGGTGAGCATATCAGCCACTTATTGAGAAGTAGGAATATAAGGAACGCAAATTAGCCCACTTTCAAGTTTCTCCTTGATAAAGTGCCTATCAACTTCAATATGTATAGTCCGATCATGAAGAATTGAATTATGAGCAATTGAAGTGGCAGCTTTGTTATCACAATAAATTTTCATAGGAAGTGATGCGAGAAGCTTCAAATTTTCAAGCAATTTCTTAATCCACATAGCTTCACAAATCCTTTGTGCACGGGATCTAAATTCTGCTTCAGCACTACTTCGTGCGACAACATTTTGCTTCTTGCTTCTCCTAGTAACTAAATTTCCTCCCACAAATGTACAACATCCGAGATGTTGATCGCCTGTCTGTCAAACTACCAGCCCAGTCGGCATCGGTATAGACTTCCACCCGAAAGTGATTACGCTTTTTAAATATCAAACCATTTCTTGGAGTTTCTTTTAGGTACTTCAGTATCCTATAGGTAGCTTCAAAATGCTCACGGCCCGGTGCATGCATGAATTGGCTTATCATGCTTACCGCAAATGCTATATCGGGACGAGTGTGTGACAAACATATAAGTCTGCCCACCAAGCACTGAAATTTCTCCTTTTCAATCACATTCTCGATTTTAGCAGGATTTAGTTTGAGATTTACCTTAATTAGAGTCTCAGCAGCCTTGCAACCTAGAAGACCGGTTTCATTCAGTAAATCAAGGACATATTTCCTTTGATTTACAAAGATTCCTTCACGTGATCTTGCAAATTCCATGCCAAGAAAATATTTCAATGTTCATAAGTCTTTAATCTCAAAGTCCTCAACTAATCTCTTTTTCAATCTTGCTAATTCATGAAGGTCATCACCCGTTAGTATCATGTCATCAACATATACAATGACGATTGCTATCTTCCCTTTATCGGTGTGTTTATAAAAAAGAAAGTGATCTGCTCGACTTTGATGATACCCATATCCTTTTAAAGTCTTCCCAAACCGTTCAAACCATGCCCATGGAGACTGTTTGAGGCCATGCAATGACTTTTTAAGTTTGCAAACTTTGTTTCGACGAACAAATTCTTCAAAACTAGGAAGTGGACTCACGAAGGCTTTTTCTTCCAAATTACCATTCGGGAAAGCATTTTTCACATCTAGTTGGTATAAGACCTAATTGAAATTAACCGCAAGAGACAATAAAACACGTATACGAGTTAATTTTTGCTACTCGGGGCAAAGGTTTCTTGATAATCAACACCATATGTTTGAGTAAATCCCTTAGCCACAAGTCTAGCCTTGTATCTCTCTACACTACCATTTGCCTTGCATTTCACAGTAAATACCCATTTACACCTAATCGTTTTTGAGCTTTAGACAGCTCTACAATTTCCCATGTTCCATTTTTCTTTAGTGCATTTATTTCCTCCATCACAAATGTTCTCTAATTTGGATCATCAAGTGTTTCCCGAATGTTTCTTGGAACAAATATGCTAGAGATTTTTGAAGTAAATGCCCTATGATTTTGAGAGAGACGGTCATAAGATAGATATTTTGCAATTAGGTAATTAGTGCAAGAACGAGTTCCTTTTCTAGGTGCAATAGGAACATCAAGATCACAATATTCGTAAGAAACATTGGGTAAAACATGAGGTGAAACAGCATTAGGTAAAATAGGAGGATTAGTATTTTGAGAATTGTTTTGAGTACCTGAATTTGAGGTAATGGATTGACTAGGTGTTGAAGGAACGATAGGTTCTTTACCATTTTGATGTTTCTTTCTCCTTGCATAAACAATGACCTCGGGTTCTTGATCCTTAGGATTATTTTGCGGTATTTCTCTCCCTGTCAAATATTCAACAATGTCCGGCAAAACAGTATTCTTATCGGTAGAAATTGTTGTCATTTTTGGAAACACTAGTTGTAAAGGCCATTGTTTGAGGTAAAGTAGTAAAAATAGGTATGCTGTCCCAACTATTTTCTTCCTCTAAACTCTCCCCCGAAGAAAATTCTTTTGAAAATAAGGCTGATTTTCAAGAAATTAAACATCTATAGTAACTAGGACTTTCCGGCTCTTTGGATGAAAACACTTGTACTCCTTTTGATTTGACGCATAGCCAATAAAAACATATGTTTTAGTCCTTGGATCAAGCTTGGACCGATCCTTATTGGGTAAATGAACATAAGTCGTGCACCCAAATATTTTAAGGGGTAAATTGGATGAAATTCGGTTTTTAAGAAAGAAAATTTTAAAGCAATTAAGATGAGTAATGAATTTAATTACATGAGTAGGTGTTTTGTTTATCAAATATGTTGCCGTTAAAACTACTTCTCCCTAGAGATACTTAGGGATATGCATAGAAAACATAAGAGATCGGGCAACTTTCAATAAGTGTCGATTTTTTCACTTATCTATACCATTTTGCTGAGGTGTATCAACACAAGTGGATTGATGATGAATGCTCTTATCTTTAAAAAAATTTCTAAGAATTTCATTGAAATACTTAGTACCATTATCGATATGAAAAATACTAATTTTAGTTTGAAATTGAGTTTTGTTAGAACATATCCCACATTGAATAGTTAAACCAATAATAAATAATATATAAAGTTGAGAAGGGGCCACCCACCACAAGACTTAAGTCTTTTAGATCGAATTCAATCTTAACTATTTAACTCTAATATGGTATCGTAGTTTCAAAGAGGCCTAATGGCCAAGCAAAGATCCTGGAGTCCGGGCCACTTGACGGACTCAAAAAAGATGGGCTGCAAGTGAGGGGGAGTGTTAGAGCATATCTTACATTGAATAGTTAAATCAATAATAAATAATATATAAAGTTGAGAAGGGGCCACCCACCATAAGACTTAAGTCTTTAGATAGAACCCAGTCTCAATTATTTAACTTTAATAAGTTTCAATCATGTTATAAAAATTTTGGAACATTGTCTTAACTTCAGATTTATCAGCTAGTAAATATACCCAACACAACCTAGTATGATCATCAACGAAGGTTCTAAACCATTTTTTGCTCGAATAAGTAGGGATCCGTGAAGGACCCCATACATCACTATGAATTAAATAAAATGATCGTGAAGGTTGATAAGGTTTTGAAGGATAAATATTTTTATGGCTTTTTGACAAAATGCAATGTTCAAAGTGAAAAAGAGAACTATCCGAGCCCTTAAATAAGGTAGGAAACAATTTTTTAAGATAAAGAAAATTAGGATACCCTAGTCTATAGTGCTAGAGCATTATTTTATCTTTACCGGGGATAGAATTGATACTACTTAGTCCTTGAGGTCTTTTATCCCGGGAGACTTCATCTTCAAAATAGTAAAGACCATCGATCATTCTAGCACTCGTCAATCTTTTTCCTCGAATTCGATCCCGAAACACACAATAAGAATCAAAGAAAGTGACACTACAATTAAAATCTTTTGATAATTTGCTGACGGACGGAAGATTGCATACAAGTTTTGCTACATGAAGAACAGATTTAAGGGATAAAGTATTTGACAAAATAATCGAACCTTTGCTAGCAATAGGTGAGTAGGATCCATCCGCTACACAAATTTTTTCATGACCCGAACAAGGAACATAAGTATGAAACAAATTTGAAAAACTTAGTCATATGGTTAGATGCTCCAGAATCAATGATCCATAGAGCGGATTGTGATAAAGAGTAACACACTAAAGCATTTAAATCACTATCTCGTTTGTGCTAAATTAGCATTAGGAATACCGGATAATCCAGAATTAGATTTGAGCATGAAGTTCTCTACATCCCAAATTGGATAGCCCGGATCATCCAAGTTTGGCTCATTCTTCTCACCAGTTAAATACCCAATCTTTCCCCCGTCGCGGATGTACATGTGCACAAATTGAGACCAAGCACAAGGAATTTTTGGTTTTGTAAGAAGTAGATGGATGGACAAGAGTGGGTGTAGAATTTGATGTAATTTCAGACATGGGGATGAGGAAGAAAATAAATTAGAGTGGTTGATAGCTAAGGTTTTTTGTTTAGAGAAAATAGACCAGCTTTAATACCATGTGAATTGATATGAAGCAGGAAATATTGATTGTATTGCCGTACCTCTACTGGTATTACAATTTACATTTATATAGCTACATATAGCATTTAAACTAGGGAATTACAAACTAGAAAATTAAAGCTATAAATCTTCCTAAACTCCTTGATTAGAGCCTTAAATTCCTATATTTACATCCTAAAATACACCCAGAATATTCTAAATAGAATATTTCCTATTCCAACAAACACCCACTGTTAAAGAAAAGGAACAGCTGGAAAAAAAGCTAGGGGGTGTTTGATTAAAATTGTTTTGCTATTGAAATCTTAAAAAAAGACAATAACACACACATGCACGCACGCATGCACACAAACACTTATTATTTATGTAATTTTGATTAAAAAAAATAAAAAAATTGAAACTAGGAAACTTGTATGTTAGAGGGTATGCATAGTAAAAATAGACCTTTTGTTTCGGCTGTGTGTTGATAGAGGGCCTATGTAGGCCCCACACCAATTTTTGGATGCCTTTTGCTTTCAAATGGGGCAGATTTGGATGGTTGGGGTTTGAAGCCAAAAAGGCTCAAACACTAACTCTCAAAATCTCAAATTACGCACATAGGTAATAGGATAATGCAGATCATCACTATTTGTATGACAATGCCCAAATCAATTTGTTGGGCAAGTAGGTTCTTTTTCAACCCCCAGGAAAACCAGTTACTCTTTTCCTTAATGGTACAGCTTTTAAAGTTTTTAACTCATTTGCCAGAGTTGAGTGATTGTTTGGTTGACAAAATGTTTTGGTGGTTTTATTTTCTGTTTGTCTTTCAAATATTGGAACGCCAACATTTCCATATTGTATTTTTATGCATATCAAAATATGTCTATCATTTTCTGTTCGTATGTCTATATTGGGGCACCAATATTTTCAATATTATATTGCTTTTGGCTGATCAATATGTGCGAGTTGTTCTATGATTTCCACATTGTATAATGTTGAAATTTTTATCAGTGTCACTCTGAACAACATTATACAAAAGAACTTCCCAGAGGAATTTGCTGAAAGGAAGTCTGAGAATGACTGTTTGACAAACTTCGGTGTTGATTTGATCCCTCTTTTTGTCATGGATGCTGTGGTACCATGTCAGAAGTTTCCACTCCACATATTTGAACCACGATACAGACTGATGGTGAGTTGGTTGTTCTTTTGCTTAGATAATGGATTATCAGCCCAGGTAGCATGACGTCTTATGTGAACTTGCATGAGCTTGGTGTAAGTGTTGCTTTAATTGAAAGAGACATTTAGCAGCCTGACTCTTTCTGTACTGCATTGGCTACAGTGCCTTATCAAACGGTTAATTACATGCTGTATCCAAACTTGTGTTTTGAATAACAAAGATGCTGTTGGAATGCAAGATACTTTATCCTACCTGCTATTATGCGGGATGTCAATGATCTTTTATTTTGATTTCTGTTAGTAGTTATAGTTTATAGTTTGGAGGTTATCTTGTTCTCAAATCTGAGTGTGGTTAAATTATTTTAAGTTCTTATGTTCCTTTCACAGTTGGATGTGAGACATCTCTTGTACGTGCTTATCAATTGCCTCTATGGCTTATATCTCTAATGGATAAAATAGAGCACAGAGTGACTGGTGTTTTATGACATCATAAAGCCTTGGGTATTATTGTTTAGACTTTAGAAGCATTGGGACCAAAGTCCAATAGCAACAAAACCTCAAGCAGTTAAAATAACTTACCCATTGATTCTGTACATTTTTTTTCTGTTTCATTATGTAATTTTTTCCCTACCTGATCAAATAGAGGATAAAATTTATTCATATCACCCTTATTTGAATGCATCAATTGTTTGCCTTGCTTGACTATCTCACATGTAATTTATTAACTCTTTGTTTGATTTCAATAGCCCATGCAAACTAGAACTAGTTAACGTTATTTTTTAGCTGGACTTAACATGTGGAAAGGTTAGGAACATCATGACTAAGATATGTGGATAACGATCTGCTCCTGCTCTGCTGGTGCATTTCCTTGCACAGCTTGTGTTACACAAGGAATAATGGTTTTTGCAAGAAATGTTCCATTATCTTGGAAGCTTGACATTTTTGGTCTTGCCATTGAGCAAAAGCTTGATGTCATTGTATCTGGTTAAGGATAGAATGTACAGCATGTATATGTGCTCCTCTGCTATGAACTTGGCTAGATTTGTAAAGAGAGATTATTTGAACTAGTCATGCATCCTGTAGCTTATGAACAGTTTTATGTCTAAAATGTTTTCTTGGCACCTTCTAGATGCAGTCAGCTATGTAACTGTATTAAGACCTGCATCATATGTTGGAAATATATGACTAAAAGTCCAGATTAGTCAGCAGTAAAATGACTAGAAGTGTTGTGTTGCCTTTCTTTCGTTTTCTTTGTCTTTGCTTTTAAATAACGTGAAGCTGAAAAGTTTGGCATCTCATTTTGTTTTTTGGTCCATATATAATGATAGTCATTTTTCTTTCTTTAATGGCAGGTCAGGAGGATCATGGAAGGACATCATCGGATGGGAATGGTAGTAAGCTGTCGATTGGCTCTTTTCTCATTTCATATTAGGTGGACCAAAACCCTCTCACTGTTCTGTGATTTGGTGTGCATTATGTAGGTTATCATTGATTCTGCTTCAGGCTCTCTAGCTGATTTTGCTTGTGAGGTGGAGATTACTGAGTAGGTTTTTGTACAGTTATGAAAGTGTAACTGTATTAACTTTTATCTGATATTTATTTTTTCATTTTTTGAATCTGTACTTTCCTTTTTACCATTTTTTGAATCAACGAGTTGCTACTTTGTAGGTGTGAACCACTTCCAGATGGGCGCTTCTATCTAGAGGTGAAAATATCATTTCTCTTTCACATACAAGTTATTGCATCTTATATAAGCATTTCTCTTTACGAAAAGGAAAAGGCTACGGCATTAAAAACTCAGCACTTGAAGTTTATGTTGAATTCTTCCTATTTCTTTCTCAGATGAAAACACTTGGTAGATTTTGAGCCATCATGCATCAGGACAACACCATATTTGTTATTAGGGGCACCTAGATCTAGGAAATGGTTCATTTACTCTTAGTTTTACCTATCAAATGAAGATGATTTTTTCCATTTTCCTTATTTGGAGGCCACTTTTGCAGAATAGACTATATTATATTGCATATACCTCATATCATGCAGATGCTATGCTGCAATCCTATTGATTCAGCCTTATCCAAAACATTCCATGACAGAAGCAGATCAGTTTAATTGTTGGGCAACTGATTCTAGAAACAAAGTCTTTAGATAGCTTCTTTTTGCTCCCTAATGGAAAACAAAATTGTTGAACTTTGATGTTTATGATTATTCAACACAACTTTGTCATGCTATACTACTAGACTAGTCAAGCGTCCTTCCAAAATTTATAATGGGAAAGGAGTATCTGATGCTTCGACTCTGAAGGTTTCAGAATAGCACTTGAGACTTTTAATTTGATAATTCATGGCAGTAGAATCCACACATCTGAAGAAGACCAAATTAAAATGGAAAGGAGAATCTGCTGTTGATGGGTCTCTCATTCAATCTTAAAGTGTATATTCCTGTTTGAATTATGTCTAGTTGTAGTTCCTGTCGCCATATGCTTTATAATTTATCTGGTTGTTTCATAAATTGTAATTTTATCCAGGTCGAAAGTCGCCGAAGATTTAGCATTCTTCGATCTTGGGATCAAGATGGGTGAGCTTGATCTCCTTTTGAGTATCATATCATCTATTTACCATGATTATGTTTGGATGAATGCTAAACTGAGCTATTTAGCTTTGTAGATGAGGTTTATATCTTTCTATTCTTTTTATCTAGGTATCGTGTTGCAGAGATAGAATGGGTACAGGATATTCCACCAGAAGGGTTGGAACAGAGAACCGAAGTATGCTTATTTTTCTGGCACATAATTTGTACTTTCGGCTAATATCTCTGTGTGTGTGTGTGTGTGTGTTTCTTCTGTTCTTTCATTTTCTGGTTCTTAAGTGACAACGAGAATCTAAAATGAGAATTGGTGAGTTAAGACCATATATTACAGGATAATCCACCAGAAGGGGAATAATGAATAGAAGTTTGCTTAAATTTTTGGCATGTAATCTGTGTGTGTTTTTCTCTCTTCTTTCCTTTTCTGGTTTTCAAGTGCTACTGAGAATGCAAAGACTGGGCTCAAGTATGATCCAATCTTCAGCACCAATAAACACTATCTTAGTTGCTAAAAAAGTTACCTATTTTCTGTTAGTTCTTCAGCCAGCAAGTTTAGAGTGCCAAATGCGTGTATTAAAGCCGGATGATATCAGATATAGGCATTTACTAAATGGTACATTTTGGAGATGTCTTCTTGGATTAAATTTTTCATGTTTCCAGTTGCAGGAACTTACAAATAGCGCAGCAGAATATGCTCAGTCATGGCTAAGGAGGGCAAAGGAAGCTGCAAGACAAGGTAAACACTTGGGATCAATGCTAGGGGGAAAAAGGGTTATTGTAATGTTCTGTTTATTTGGTGCATTTATTCTTACATGCGGGGTGATATTGATAGAGCATTGATTCTTTTGTTGGAAACTGTTATAGATTCCATGCTTCTATGGATTACCCTGGCTTAACTTGCTCTTAAATTTGTAACAGCTTCTGAAATTTATTGCCCCTGATTTCACTATACGCAATGTTAAGGTTGAGTTTGGAGGAAAATTCATTGGGATAAATAGTAAAAGGCCATTATAAAAATTGTATCCACAAACTTATAATATTGTATGTTCATCTATATATTTCGTACTGGTGAAAGTAAATTATATGTTTACAGATAACTTAAAAAGATGAATTTTCATGTCAAAATATCTACCCATTTACAAGGGTAACTATACCTCAATTACTCATGTTTCAAAAACCCTGAAAACAATGCAACTGAAAAGTAGGAGCTATTAAGGGGATAACAGTTATCTTTCCTCTCAATTGTTATATAGTTTTTTTCTCTCTTAATTCTTTTTAGGAAAAAATAGGCAAATGTTTGTTTTTATTTTTCTCTCACATCAATAATAATATTTTTATCATTTTCTCTCTTTTATCTCTAACCATTTGCCCTTCAATTTTTATTTATTTATTTATTTTTTATTTTTTATTTTAACAAATCAAACATTCTTAAAAACTAGCTTTTATTCTTAACAATTGCTCCTGTAATAACCTTAAGCAAAAGGCACCCTTAGCTTTTAAAAGGAAGGTTTCAAGAAAAGTTTAACAACAAACTTGGATGAAGACTAGATCATATTGCATGTTTTGGTAAGGGTTCATGGGAATGCAAATAATGCATGAGTGTTTTTTTTCTAGATAAAACGATTGTTTACCAAAGAACTTTATTATTTCCCCTGAAGCTTGTCCCAAAATTGGTGTCCTTTGTTTGTCTTCTCCATCAATCCAGTATTTAGTGTGCATAAAAAAAAGTTGTAAACCACATCACTATCATTTGCCTCTTCAGGTTTTTTTTTTTTGTCAATTCTATCTTCCCATTTTCATCTTGCCAACATGCTATTTCAATTTATAACATGGAATTTGAATGCAGATCGAAGAAGATTTGAGAAACTACTTAATGTGGAAGCAATGATGCCAACACCACTGGATCCTGAGCGCTTCAGTTTCTGGGTATGCTTAACTTACTATATGCAACGTTTGTCCATGGTATTACTGCAGTTTATGATTTTCTTTTTGATGCAGCTTGCTACTTTGACTGACAGGAGGCCTTATGAGAGATTGGAGCTCCTGCGTGTAAGAGATACAAAAGAGGTACAATATCTCCTTTTAACATTGAAATTAGAAATACATTCTACCTGGTCTGGGAAATTATAGGAAACCAGTTGATCTGATGTTTTTCCTTCGATGCATGCATTCTTTTATTGAAATTTCTTTTGTACACCTTCCATGAAAAGCCAGTTAGAATATTCCATGTGGCGACAATGATTGAATAATGGAAAAGTCCATGTAAACAAAACTCTTATACAGATTGTTAGAACAAACTGATTGGCACTACAACTTACCATACAACTGGGATTTTTTTTATGTTTTATTTTTTATTTTTTAATAAGTCTTCCTCTTCAATGATTTATTTCATTCCTAAGATTTATATCAATGATTTATGTCTTGTCAAGTGTTTGGGATGGAAAGCAATGGGGAATAATATGCTCAGGTTCATGCCTGCGAGAAGTTTCTTGCCTAGTGTTGTATTGCACAAAGTGACGGAATCACATGTAGGGTTTGAATTAAGGCAAGAAGAAAGATAGCAAGATCATGGGTTTCGAATTTAGGCTAAAGACTTGAAAGAAATGAAGGAGAAATTAATAAGGACAACTAGCCTAACTCCAGTACTATGTTTTCATGAATCATTTAGACTAGGTAATTTTCAATTTTTTTTTTTTTTTTAGAAATTACAGATACACTCTTGCAACTGAAAATATTTGAAATACAATTTTAAGTCTTGGAATCACATGGAAAGACAAGTGTTGATGTTTTTGGTAGATGATTATATTATTTTATGCTAGAGGTAATAGATCTTATTTTGACAGTGCAAAAATGGTTAATTTTACATTTTTCTTTTTAATTATTTTGCAGAGGATAAGACGAGGACTGGTATATCTTAGAACAGCAGAACAGGGCTGCAGCATGCAGTGATAATATGTAATTTTAATAGATCGGATGCTATGGAAAAATCCATTTTTTTATAACCAATATTCTTTCATTCACATGATTGTGGTTCTCATTCTTTTTGTAACAATACTTTAAACTGAGAAATAACAAGGAAATAGAGCTCATAAATAAAAGACAAGTTTGAGTTATTAGATCCAGAGTTGACTGCTAACATGTTTTTTCAGTTCCTACAAGTTGTCGTGTTTTTATTTGGAAGTGGCCAGAATCAAATAATTTTGAACGTTAGTATGTGAGGGGATGGCTACATTTAGGGATTGCTTTTGTCGATCCAGTAAGAGTTTTTATGTGAATTTTGTGCCAAACTTTTCAACTTAATTCTGGTTGCCGGACCCATTACTTGTATTTATATTTATTAATAATTAATTCATGTACCATCTATCAAGTAAATTATAGATTAGTCCCTCTATTTTTTAGAAATGAATTTACTAGTTTTTTTTTTCTCTTTTTCAAAAACCAATTATTTAATCCTTTAATTAGTGTTGATCATGTTTAATTATATATATATATATAATAATGAGAAATAAATAATTCTTTCTCAATACTAGAAGAACTAATTCTAATTTACTCATTATCAATCTTCTTTCCAACACCTATTTTTTGATTCAGGGATTCCATACCTTTATTGTCCTTAGGCCATTAGTGATCAGTAGAGATAGCAATAGATGAGTATCTAGTTCATTAATTTAATTTTTTACTCCATCTATAAAAAGAATATCTTGTCAATTACTCGTTAAGAAATCACTATATATATCTTACTCAGTTTATACTTAGTCCATATTAATTTACAATCCATTTGATACTTGTCAAAAATAATTTATCAAAAATATTCATTTTAATCCTCATAATTTTCAAAGAAAAAAAAAGATTTTTTCCCTTAAAATTTATTTATTTTTTTGCACTTTTTTGTCATTTATTTATAAGTTTTTTTTCATCAAATTTTTTTTTGAAAATATTTTGGTCTTTAATTTTTAAAATTTATGCAATTAGATTATTGTATGTTAATGAAAAAATCAAAATAAATTAATGGATATTAATAGGATAAAGAGTAGATATCCACATTATCAAACCATATTAATTGGTAAATATTTTTTTATTCTTATTCATTACAATACTCATTGGGTATTTTTAATGTAACATTTATGATGTAAAACTTCATAAAATGTAAATGTATTGCAAAAATATTTTATTTAATTAATAAAAGTATATTTATTAAATGATAGGAATAAAGTTTAAACTTTCATTAAGAATAAAATAAATACAAGTATGATTAAAAGGAAATATCAATAGAATGAAGAAGGATTGAACTAGAGATTGGTATAATAAATTGTTGAGGTTATGCTTTGACATAAGGGTTTAATTGTAAAGATTAAAAGTTTAGGTCCTTTATTGAAATATTAAGACTTTAGCGACTTAAATTATCCTTGGAATAGGCCTAGGATAAGGGTCAAATGGAGAAAAATTATGAAGTCATAGACTGAAATTGGAGGGGCCGATTGCAAAGATTAAAAGTTTAGAGACTAAGGTGTAAAGTGGTGACACTTTGGGGGACTTAGTAATTGATTTTGAGAGACTAATTCCAGCTAGATAATTCTTGAAAAATAGAGAAAAAAACAGAAGAACAATGTCGGTTTAGAGAGGAGAAAAGAGGAAGAGAAAAATCAAGGAAAAAAAGGAAGAAAAGAGGAAAAATCAAGAAAAATCTAGAGTAACCATTAATACAAGAACTTGAGATTAATCTAAGTGTAACACACTTGGGTTAATCCAAGTGAATTCTTCTCCTATAAATTTGGCTTGGAGAGGAGGAAGAAAAGATTGGAAAAATGAAGAAAACTAGCCACACCAAAGAAAGAGAAGTTCAACTAAGAAAGAAACCACCAAACCAACACACCAAACCACATTGGGCAACCTTGAAACACCATAAAATCACCCTAGAATCAGTTTGAAGAAACAAGCAAAGGAGGAGGAGGAAACTCCAACTTGGTCGAAAGTTCGAGGTGGAAGAAGGAGGAAGAAATCCAAGGAGAAAAAGAGAAGGAATGATCAAACTTCAAGTGAGGTAAGTGCAATCCTCATTACACCATAAGCAAATAATTTTTTTAATGTATAATTGATATTAAATTGAAGTTATATTGTTGAGGTTTAATGATTTAATTGTTAGTAAAACTATGTTGTTGTTTGATTTTGGTGGTTATATTGGTTGTTATGAAATTATATGATTTGAATTATGATGATTTGATGTTGTCGTTATCCTTAGAACAAGGTGATTGGGTATCCTTAAACTTGAATAAATTAGAGGTTTTAAGACCTAATGTTTGCAAGATATTTGATGAAAAGCTTTAAAAATGTTTATAGTGATAAATTGGAAACATTGAAACTTGGTCACTTTATGATGGAAGATTTATATTGTATGGAAACTTAACCTATTTAATGTTAAAATAAAATGATGAAGAACGTATTAGATCAAGAGGTTAGAGGTGAAAAATTGAGATAAAAGGAAGAAATGGAAGTTGTCATTCCATTGGTCGGTTTCGGCCAAGAATGAAAATCAAAGGTAAAAGAGGGTCATTTGAGGTTAATGTAATTTTGAGGTTTAGAGATATTAAATGAAATGAAAAGTGATTGTAATCATGTGAAAAATAGATGGATTATGTTGCCTAATTATTCGACCAAAATGTATATTTAAGGCATGGATTGTATTTATTGTTTGTTCATGTTTGCATGCATACTTGTTTTTTATGGAATATGTATTTGATGTATGATTATGTTACATGTTCTTGAGGATTTAAAAGTATGCATGTTAAGGTTTATGTTAAATGTATTCATTTTATTTAAATGCATTTGCAAATCATAATCATGAAAGAAGTTTTACATTCATGATTTTGATGAAAGAAAAAGAAAAAGAAAAGGTTTTTAAAAAGGAATGGCTTGTAACTTCTTGAGGTTATGAGAGAGGAATGATCACCTTCTTTTGAGGAAAAGGATACGCTCACTATGTAGAGGTTATGAGGCGGTACTTAGTGCTTTTTGTGATTTTTTACACATTTTATGTTTTAACGGAGGATCGATTATATACACAATCTATAAGATATGTTCGAAGAGAAAAATGAATTTCGAAGATATGAAAATGTTTTTATGAAAGTTGCATCATGTGCATCACATGCATTGCATGGATTACGCTTACTAGGCATTGCTCACCTTTGTTTCTTATGGTCTAGGAGAAAAGATAGCTGAATGAGGATCGTCGCCGAGGAGTGTTAAAGACTTGCCTTTTGTGTGCTTGGTGTGTTAAGAGTATGGAAACTTTACCTTGCTTAACCTAAATATTGGTTATGTATATTTGATAATAAGGGAAGCAAAATGTAGGTTTGTAATAACAAATGGTATGGATGGATATTACGTTTGATATTGTGCTAAAGATTGTTAGTTATATGACTCGGCTAATCAATATGGTTAAAATGAATTAATTGATTATGGAAAGAAATGAATTAAAGGTATAATGAAAGTAATGCTAAGATGGTTACTTGATTTAATAACTAATGAGTTAAGGATAAAAAGGAAGGAATTAAAAGGAGATGACAAAAAAGGGTAGTAAGGTTAAGACTTAAAAGAAAATTAATTGCTAAGGAATAAAGACATTTAATGGGTTAGTTTTAAATAAATTAGGAACCAAAGTTCCTTAAGTCCAAAAAATGTTTTAAATAACCAAAATATTAGTTAAAAGTCTAAATGAATTTATTAAGTGTATTATTGAATTTTTGGAATAATTTCCTAGCCTAAGGAATTTTTATAAAAATAATAGTATTAAATCTTGATTTAATGGTTACTATTCATGGATTATTTTCTAAATAAATGTAATACTTGATATTTCAATTATTTTTTGAAATAAAATCAATATTAAATAATCCTACCTTATTGTGTAGAATATTTGAAAATGAAATACTCGCAAATTAAACTTTATATGAATTTCTAAAAGGAATTTAAGAAAAATAAGAGACATGATTCAATTTATTTTAATGTAAAATATTTTATTTAAATGATTGATTTGGATTTCAAAGATATGGATTTTTGACCAAAATATGACATTTAATATTTCTATACATAGTATAGGAATATTAATTGATTTTAGTTGAATTTTTGAAATAATTCATACCAAAGTTTTATTTAATGTGAACCTATTATTTCACATTTATTAGGGACTTCATATGAGAATTGCCCACTTTGCTAATAAACTGAAAATGTTAAAAGAGGAGGCTTGTTGACTTGCATTCATTGTACTTCAAATGTATGTCAATGCTAGTAATATTCTCGACCTATTTAGATCTTAACTCGATAGTGTTACATTTACTAGGTATTTTTTAGATCGGATAAAACGGATGCCTATTTTGTATTCAGCCTATTACCATCCCTAGTCAACAAAACCAGCCAAGGGCCAACAGAATCAGTTTCGATCCAAATTTTAAGAGGTTAAATCCAGAAGTATACTAATAGTGCATGTTGGATGGCTGAGCAGTAAGTAGAAGTAGTAGTGGTATGGGTATGATTATTATTATGAATATAAAACTTGGTTTGCAGGCAGCTAGGAGTTATTATTATTATTATTATTATTATGATTATAGTGCTTAAATAATATTAATAATGAGGGGAACGTAGTAGTGGCATTTAAGGTTCAACGCTTAGCTCGCTTTATTTAAGGTTTTATGGATCTTTTTTCTTGTGAAGTCTTCTCTCCTACTACCCACCCAATCCAACAGATTAACATAGCAGAAACAATACAACCCTACATGTCCTTTCCTTAGTTGCTCCTAACTATCTTTTCATCTCTTAATTTGTTCAGCTTCACATCCATTTTATTACGTGCAAACTTTTTCCACTCAGGTACACCACTCTTCGAACACCATCTACTGTCACCACCACTGCTGCTGCTGCTGTGACCACCTTTTTGTTATTAACAACGTTACCATTTCCTACACCTCATGACCTCAACATCATGGAAGTCGTTTATTTGCTTCTACTTTCCAATCTTATTTTCATCCTTATAAACTCCACTTCAGCAACAAATTCTTCTTTTCCTTCGATGGCTGCATACATGCACACCTCCAGATAATTATCTAATTGATTGTGGATCACCACAGGATACAAAGCTTGACGATGGCCAAACCTTCAAATCTGATTATGTCTTGCAAAGTTACCTTGAAACCAATGTAGAGGTACAGACTTCTGTCGATTCCATTTCCTTGAATGCGACTTCTTCTTCTTCTTCTTCACTCCCTTTATATTGTAGCATAAGGATTTTCACGACTAATTCAAAATATACATTTTAGATCACTCGTTTAAGGTGGCATTGGTTATTTTTTTACTTTCATTCGCTTCCTCACCCAGTATACAATCTAACCAGTGCTGTTTTCAGCATCACCACTGATGAGTTTGTCCTCTTGCATGACTTCTTTGTCAAAGGCAACTCCATATCGGCTTTCGAGGAATACCTCTTTAATGTTTCTAATGATAGATTCTCCCTCATTTTCAATCCCAAGGAGAGATCTTTTGCATTCATCAATGCCATTGAAGTTGTGTCTACTGCAGACGGTCTTGTATCTGATTCTGCTTTTATGGTACCCCAAGGTGGAACTTTAAATGGTTTGTTTAAGCATGCTTTTGAAGTGTGTTATCGGTTGAATGTGGGAGGGCCAACCATAATTCCAATGAATGATACCTTGTCAAGGACAGGGCTGCTTGATACAGCATACAATGTCTTTCCCCAAGGGGCTAAGAATGCATCCATTACTCCCGGTGCCGTCAAATACCCATAAAGTAGAGTTACTCCTCATATTGTGCCAAACTTGGTTTATGCAACTGCAGATGAAATGGATGAATTTGATACGCTGCAACCAAACTATAATCTGACATGGCAGATGAATGTCAGATGAATGTTGATCTTGGATTTTCCTACTAGATCAAAACACACTTCTGTGATATTGTCAGCCAGGCCCTTAATGAAATGTACTTCAATGTGTATATAAACAGCTTAATAAGTGCGTCACGTCTTGACCTTTCTTCCATCAATAATGCCCTTTCAACAACATATTATATAGATTTTGTGCTCAATGCCTCGTCTATCAGGAATGGTTCCATCAGGGTTCAGCTTGGCCTAGCTTCTGGCATACAATCAGGCATGCATAATGCTATTCTCAATAGATTGGAGGTCATAAAGACAAGCAACTCAATGGGGAGCTTGGATGGTTTATTTGATGTTGATGGATCGAGTTGAGGATCTATAATGAAGATTGTTGCGGGCGTTGACCTTGCAATAGCAGTGACAAAAATGTTGTTACTTGCAATTGTGTGCATTCGATGGCAAAAGAAGCCTCAAGATTGGGAGAAGCGTAGCTGCTTCTCGTTATGGCTGCTTCCTCTTTGCACCAACCAATCTAGTTTCTTGACCAGCAAGAGCAGCTCGAGGAGATCTAGCGTTTTTGGTTTCGGGAAAAGCAAAAGTGGTTATTCCAGCTACTTTTCTAATCAGGGTCTTGGCCGTTACTTCAATTTTAGTGAATTGCAGAATGCGACACAAAATTTTGATGAGAAGGTAGTGATTGGAGTTAGTGGGTTTGGAAAAAATTATTTTGGAGTGTTGAAAGATGGAACAAAGATGGTGATAAAACGAGGAAACTGAGGATCAGAGCAGGGCATAAACGAGTTCCAGATAGAAATACAAATGCTCTCTAAGCTAAGGCATCACCACCTTGTATCACTTATTAACTTCTCAAATGAAAAATCAGAGATGATTCTTGTTTACGTGTAGATGTCTAATGGCCCACTTCGTGACTATATCTATGGTTCAAAAAAACCTCTTTTTCATGGAAACGATGGCTTGAGATTTTCATCAATGCAGCTCGAGGCTTGCATTATCTGCACGTTAGTGTAGCACAAGGCATCATCCACCATGATGTAAAAACCACAAATATACCGGTTGATGAGAATTTGGTAGTAAAAGCATCAGATTTTAGGCTTTCCAAAGCTGTACCAATGGAACAAGGGCATGTGAGCACAACAGTGAAGGGTAGCTTTGGATATCTTGATCTTGAGTAATTCAAGATACAGCAGCTTACTGAGAAATTTGATGTATACTCTGATAAGTACACACTCGAGAACAGAAATGAAACCAAGGAAAATAACAAATATATGAAGTTCGCCGGGAAAATGAGAACAAGTAATTCTTATCAATACAATATTCCTCACGGAATATCGGTTACAAGGATTAACACCATGGTAGCTATTCTACAGGCTACCTCTCTCCTATTACTCCTCTGCTATAAAAGATAACCAATCGTACCCCACGCTTTTCCCCTCCTACCTTTATATAAGTCTGGACCAGCTAACAAACTAGCCGAGTCAGCAATAACAACCCGCGAGAAACAAACAACATAGATAAGCAAAAGAGACAAGCCGATAACAAACTATCAATTTTGTCAATTTGATCCAGACTCGTTGGAACCCTCTATGCCTCTTTCGAACGTAATGGAACTTTATTAGAGTGGTTTTGTTCTAGGTTTTATGGGCAAGGCTCGTAATAAATCTAGCATTACCAAGGGAGCAGGTGAATTTGGTCGAGTGGGCAATGCGGTGCCACAGGAAATGAGTGCTTAACAAGATAATTGATCTTCACATTATAGGGAGTATTAATGAAGAATCACTAAAAAAGTATGTTAAAGCTGCAGAGAAATGTTTAGCGGAACATGGTGTTGACTAGGCCTAGCATAGGAGATGTATTGTGGAACCTAGAGTATGCGATAAAACTTCGGGAGGCTTCCTCCTAACCTCAAACAGATCTTCTAGAACATAAAAGGACCGGTCTCATTGTTGCTTTTTAAAAGCCACATGGAAAAATTTCGGAGGAGACTGCGGTGTTTCGTTAGTGATGATTCTCAAGTAATTGTTACTTCTCCTTTATTCTCTCAAATTGGAAAATTTCGGAGAAGGTAAGAAACTGGTACCGACCATTTCATTTAATTTGGAAGACCTAACTCCTCTTATTATTGGTACATTCCGTTGAGCGGACACTGATTGCTTTTCATTTATCTTCTTTATCTTGTTTTTTCTTTGTTTTATTATTTATTTATTTTTTCCATTTAAATTGTCATGATCAGTTGCTTAGCATAGGTGTCTTGCAAGCTCCAACTATGTTACTATATCTCCGAGTAATTCCTAAATCAAAATCAATATTCTAATGATGATAATTATTATGTTATCATCATATCTAATAAATAGCACTCTTGATCCATCAATTCCTCCCATGAATTTTTTTTAAGATAATAATTTAATTGATAAAATAAATCAAACAAATACATCATTATTTTTGTGGCCTAATAATATCAATAACTAAGAAAGAAATTACCACTTATTACATTGAAAAAAATTAGAAAATACCCTCTTATAATAATAATGAATAATGATATTTCAGCTAGTAGATACTCTCTTAAGGAATGCAAATAAAAAGCTCATTCAAACTTAATGATTAAAAATCTCCAAGATGAGATTTTTTTTTTTTTAGCACATCACACACAAAGTTAAGCCTAACATCATCATAAATCAACAATTAACAAACTATATTATTTCGCCTCATTGATGAAAAATCTCAATCATTCAAAATTACCAAATACGATCAATCTTTTTCGACCAATAAGAAACAACCACATCCAATCCAATAAAGGAATATCAAAACCTTCTCCCAAAGACAAAACATCTTAACAAAGTAGGAATTTTGTGCATAAATAAAATATAAATTTAAAAGCTAAATCTAAATTGTTAACACAATAAGGGGAAAAAAAAACAAAAAAACAAAGAAAAGCAAAAAGAAGAGGGAAAATAAAAAGGAGAACTAGAGAGATGAAGGTTTGTTGTCGATGATTTTTAGTGGCTAGGTTTAATTTTTTTTTCTTTCTAAGAGAAAACTAAGAGAAAGGAGAGAAATATTTCTCTTTTTTATCTTTTATGTTCCTATGACTATTAACCATTAATCAAGTAGACGAGAGAGAAAAAGAAAAGAAAAAACTTAAAAGACTTTGTGACTTAGAACAACCGACTATCTAAGCGGAAGAGCCAAAGAGAAAGTTATAAGGTGTTTGATAAAACTGAAAATTAAGTGTTGAATCTATTAAGTACTGAATTTGTTCATGACAAGTCTGTTTGGTATTTACCGAAAATTAAATGCTGAACAGAATAAGTTTGTTTGATAAGTACTCGTTGCTAAAAATATTAAGGCTATATCCATGACAATTTTTATCTTGTAATTGTAGCATTATACTTTTTTAATACAAATAAAAAATATACATAGTCTGTGTTTATGTGTACAAATAAATAAATAAAAATTCAATAAAAATGATTATTAATAAAAAACTAAATAGAGTCTAAGATAACATTAATTATCATATCATGCACAAAATAAATAAAATATCAAGTATAATCAGTTCATTTGCAATTTGGTCTCACAAATTAATCATAAATGTTTGATTAGCTTGTACTTGTACCACTACTCCGATGAATGATAAATTTGCAATAAAATTTGATATTTGATGCATCATATAATCGCTATGAAATTGTTCAAAAAAGATGTCGAGTAACAATTGTTCTTCAAAGATAATTATGTATTGCAACAATAATATCTCTCCGAGCTACAAATGGATATGGGGTCATTGTTTTTAGAATTCAAAACTTTGCTTTTAGAACATCAATTGCTCATTCAATAACATTTTTTAATTTTGCATGTACATGATTAAGTCCTTCTTCTTTTGATCTTGGATGATGAGCATTGCGAAAATCGGATAACCAATATCATGTATTACGATATGGTGCCATGAACCCTCCGGTATGTGCATATGCAACATCACGAAAATAATATTTATATTCCATAAAATATTAATATAATAAATTGTATGAAAAATGTAAAAATTATTGACATAATACACATAGTAATAACTTAAAAAAAAAAACTTGAGGGGAATTTTTTATAAAAAAGAATTTAATAAGAATGGAAACAATCTACTAAGTGGAGAGATGGGAAAGTTATTTGATGAGTTACACGTAATTTCTTTTAATACTCTTAAATCATATGCTATACCTTCTTATCCAGCCCAAAAAAAATAAAAAATCATATCAAAATCACATATTGCAAAAACATTTTGATAGCGATCTCCTCTTTCTCTCCATCTAAATAGGACTTATTAGTCGGGTGATATAACGACGAAGAATTAAAGTCCCTTCAAGGGAACCTATAGCACCTTATAAATTAATAAAAAATTAGTTAATTTTAAAATACATAAATCAATAAAATTAGAAATAAAAGTTAAATCTATAACTTGAAATACTTGGCGAAGTCGATTATGATGTTGAACTTGACTTAAATTTGGGTAAAATGTAGTAGGTACAACCATTTCTTTTACAAACTTTATCATTGCTTGCAAAACTTCATGGAAATAGTGATGTATTATTTGAGTTGAATGATTAAATCTTCATTTCATGACATGATTTCAAAAATATTGACTTAAAGTTATGAATAACATTGTCATTTTTTCTTCAACCCTAATATAGCGACCATCTCTCAACCATCCTTTTTGTTTGAAATAATCATATAAATTTGAGGATGCTTCTTTTTTTCATTCTTAACATTCCTTGACGAGTGAGTCGGATTTCCATGAAGGATCTCTAGCATATATATATGTCCTTCAAGAGCCGAATCAGTATCCGGTCTTCTTCCAACACATCTTTTATTAATCATTTTTCAGTATAAAAAGCAATATAATAATCTTTAAACTCTTTTTTATTTTTTTGCTTGTTTGTCAACATGCTCGTTAATTAAAAACAAAGAAGCAAAAACATGTATCAAAAAATTGACGAGAAATCTCATTAAAGAAAAAAAATTCAAATTGGAGTACTTTTATTCAAACTATAATTCTTATGAAAATTATAGACAATCAAAATGTAACAAATTATTCTAAAATACTAAACACAAATCACAAAGAAAAATATTCAATTAAAACAATGCCAATTTTTTAGTAACTATTTTGATGCATCCAATTCGACTTCCTCTAGCTTTTAAGAAATATTTATCCATTGCTCTCGATATGCTTTACTTTCAAAGATAGTATATGTAGCTATATATAACGGATCATTCATTCCTAAAGTCTCAATTTCATCTAACTTCTTATTGCATTGCTCTACATCGGGTCTATCGAACCTTCCACTATCTTCGGTATTGCCACCGAATGATCATGAATGTCATCATCCTTATTTTTCTTTTGATGTTTTTCAATTTTTTTTTATTTCGTCACCTAGAGTTGAAAATGAAGTTGGAGAATTAGACTCCAAATCAATAAATTCTTCAAAATTTGTTCTAATTAGTTTAATTGACATAGAAGAACCAACTCCATTTGCTTGTATGGATTCTTTAGAAGAGTTTGAAGAAGCAACTCCATTTATAGGCACTATGTCTTTATAAGGACCACAACCTTCTTTTCCAGTGGCTAACATTCTATCGGATAATTTTTTCATCTCATATAAAAATTACAAACCAACATAACGAAACCTGTTTTGCGTCATTATTATTACGTTACATAAATATATCAAATCAATAATATGATTAATTGCTTTAAGCTTTACTAGGGAATGAAATGTATAAAAAAAATAATACATGCTCATAATCATCCCACTCTTATGTAGTCCAATTGGCGGTATTAGTCACCTGGATCATAACCATGCCCACTTTTATTAATTAGTTTTGACCCTACTATGTACTTCTTTTTCAAATATGTCCACTCATTCTTTAGTTGTTTTTGAGAAAACTTAATGCATTTTTGTTTCTTAAATGCTTTCACTATATTTTCCCATGATTCAGTTTTTAGGCTCCCTCCATTTTTTTCAAGAATACTCACTTGTTCAATACATATATTCAATTTTTTTTTACTATTTTGGGGCCCTTCCAATTAGCTCTAAGCACTATCTTTAGAGGCCATTCGTACACATAATAAAATAGTTATACCAAAAGCCATATTACTACAATCTTAGAACTCAAAATTACACCACAAAACCACTTTAACATGCTTAAAAAAATAATCAAACCAAGTTCCTAAAAACATAAAAGCAATCGAATGATACATGTAACCATGCAAACATGTATAGAATCAAAACTATCCCTTAAAACTATTCGAAATAATCCTTGCTTTATTGAATAAGAAGGAAGGTATTGATATAGCAAGTCAAAAGGAAGAGGGACTAAAAATAGTCTAGACAATCAACATTTTAGGCTTATGAATGCTTCTATAGCATTCTAGACCTAACACATATACACCTAGAATATCCCTTCATTGCCTACATCTCTCCAAAAACCTCATTTTATCCCCCATTTATCCATAGTATATTATACATGTTTTGTTAGTATCATTTATTGGTTCTATTATTTTGGTCTTCTATATAGTATATTATACATGCTTTGTTAGTATCATTGATTATTTCTATTATTATGGTCTTTGTTTTGACTCTAATTTAGATTAAGAAATTTAAAGATGCATTAGCCAAGCACATGCCAGATTGATGTGCCCTTGGAATGATACTTTGTCGGTATCATTCGATCTTGATTCTCTTTTTATCTTCCTTCCCTTACTTTTCCTCCTTTCTTTCTCATCACCCATTGTCCACCTTTTACTACTCAATCTACTCTTCCTCCAACTGCAACACTTGTCTTGTTACCCAACTCTCTCATTGTTTGGTCCTTTCTACAATCAACATTTAGGTTTTTTTTTTTTTTCCTATGTTTCGTTTTTTTTTCTCAATTTTGGTGAAATGGTTTCTTGCTTGTATGGCTTAGAATCATTTTTTTTTTACTTTGATATGAAATGAGTTTCAAGAATTTATTGCTATTTTTTTCAATTAGGCAATTGGGTTTTCTAAATTTAGGTACTTTATGAGATCTTATATTGATTATGCACTTTCTTTGATTGATAATTTCTTTAGGTGGAATGGATTTCGAACCATGGGTCGGGGACATCAAGGGAAGATGGGAAATGCACCAACACGTGCTTATATGCATGATGCAAAGGCAATAGCATCAACACCGGCTAATGTGAAAGAGTATACAAACTCTTATGCATTCATCATTGACATGCCGGGATTGAAGTTAGGGGACATCAAGGGAAGTTAGGAAATTCTACACTATTGAAGAGAGGAAGCATAGGGAGGAGAAATGTACTAAACATGAATGCTCATTTTGGCGGTTTAAATTTTACACTACTTGGAAGTCGAGAAGTTTGTATGGGTAATGAGTGTGGTCCTAATTGTTGGACCAAACTACCTTCCTTAATACTGGATAGAGGCTTTGTTGGTGTACTACATGATTGGTAATTCTATCATATACTTCTTTCCCTTTTTAATTTATCAATGGATAAATAATATTTTGAAAGATCATGCATCCTATGGAGGTGTAAATTAAAACAAAAAGTTTCTCTATCTAAAAGGCTCAAGATCATACTATTGAATCAACTAACCATATATTCATGAATTAAAGCGATGAATAGAGAATTTACCTCTTGTAGCATAGACATAAGCCTTTGTAGAAAGGAGCCATCTAAGTGTTTCACCTCTATTGATAATCCATGCAGTCTAAGCACCAACAAAAGAAGCACTCAAAAGTGGTAGGGAGCTAGCTCACCTTTTCTAACTTATTTAGTGTTTCATATAGAAATCTAATCAGGATAATTTTAGAATAACCCAAAGAGAGAGAATGAGAAGAAAGGTGGCATGTTAGGGCTAGGGAGAAAATAATTTTCTTCGAGCTTTTATTTTGAGTCATGTGTCCCAATTATTTTGTGTGCCAAATTTTCTCTCCTTTTCTTCTCTTCTTAGTTATTGCTGCACCTCTCCTCCTATTTATAGGGGGAGAGTTTCCTAGTCCTTTAAGGACAAGAAAAAAGGATGGCAACTAATCCTTATTGGACTCTTGATTGTTGCTTCCTAGTCCTCAAAGGATTATAAGTTATTTAACATGAAGGCTTTTGATTTTTATTTATAAAATATTCATCCTTATCCAATAAGGTTCATGTTTATCCTCCTACCAAAATATCTTTTAGGCTTTTAATTAAACTTATTGGGCTAAAATCATTTTTCCTAATTAATTAATTTAGACTATCCAAATAAATTAAGTTAGATAATTTTAGGTGGCTCACATTAGGAAGGGATTTTTCAAAATACCCTTAGCCTAAATTAGGAAACTCATTTTTATTTTAGGTTATTTACTTTTAGATTTGGAACTAATTTTCAAATTAGGAAACTACTTTCTAAAATAGAAAATTTTCATTTTAGGAAACTTTCCATTTTCGAAAACTTTTTCCAAAATAGGAAACTTTCATAATTGAAAACATTTTTTAACATCTTTGTTTCTCTTTGATAATGTGAATGCTTAAGCTTATGCATGTGACTCAATAGGCTCCTAGATATGTTGACAATATATCAAGAATAAAAAATACCTTTTTTATCTCCGGATACGTAAGTGAAGATTGGCCTCTAGTAAGGCATCATGACTAGCCAATTCTCTAGGAAGATTAATTAATTTGCAATTACCTTTCATGAACATGGTTCCATGTAATTCAGTCTTTATGTCAACTTATCATATTGTGATCTCGAACTTAGTTATTAGTCTTATTCGATTATGATCATACACGTTTTTTTCAATTCTCAAATATCTTAGCTCTTAGAGTAAACCAATTATGCTCTATTGGTGTACTCCTACTATGATCATAGATTTCTTGAGCGGACATTAATTGAAGTACAATGTGATAACTCCTTTAACATAGAAGGAATGACATGTCATATCTTAGTCATCCACCTACCTCCATTAGATTCCTAGTGTACCTAATAAATTACCCACGTGCGGCCCTTTACTCGGATCCATCGAAATGATTGTCAAAGTACATAAATCTTCTATTGAGATAACCATGATGACTTCAAGTCTAAGGACTAATTGAACTCATCTCGTATGAGATTCTTATAGACTAAACCAAATAGGTTCTCATGATAAGTCAAGTCTAGTGATATGTTTTTTAACATAAATTACCTAAGTGTTTGCTTTAGCATCACCATACCAATAGGTGTGAGATCTCCTACTATTATCATATACCATGAACATAACACTCACAAGTGTAACAATATCTAGTTAATATCCATTCTTGATAATTCTATGACTTGAAACATTTAATTATATCATTTATGTGCATTAGTGTTTGTCTCATATCTTTTAATCAATCATTATTGCAAATACATATCATAAAGACTTCTATCTAATTCTACTTACTGAATTAATGAAAGAAAAAAATTATATAAGGACTTATTTATTATTAATAAAATAAATGATGTAATAATACAATAACTCAAACATATCCAAACATGGTTGGATCTTGAGCACCTAAAATAACTCAAATTTGGAAGTGAATAACTTAAAATGGAAATGATTTTTCTAATTTAGGTTAAAGGGTATTTCAAGAGATTCTTTCCTAATGTGGGCCACCTAAAATTATTTAAGTTTCTTTATTTGGATAGTCCAAATTAATTCATTAGGTCAAAATGGTTTTGGGCTAATAAGTTTCATTAAAATTCGAAGATATTTTGATGAGAGTATAAACATGAACCTTATTAGATAAGGATGAATGTTTTAAAGATAAAAATCAAAAGCCCACATGTTAAATAACTCCTAATTCTTAGAGGGTTAGGAAACAACAAACAAAAGTCCAATATGGACTAGTTACCGCCCATCTCTCTTTATCCTTGGAGGACAAGGAAACTCTCCTCCTATAAATAGGAAGAGAGATATCGCAAGAGGTAAAAATAATTAAGAGAAAGAATTTAGAAAAATCAAAAGGAACTAGGGCACACGATCAAGAAGAAAAAAAAATAGTTTTTTTTTTCAAAAAGCCCTAAGCACGCCATATTGTCTCCCTTTCTCTTGGGTTATCATAAAATTACTCGAATTATATTTCTATAGAAAACACTAAACAAACTAGAAAAAGGTGGAATTGGCATTCCACCAATTTTGAGTGCTTCTTTGTGGGTGCACGGACTGCATGGATAATCAATAAAGGTCAAACTCTTGGACGACTCCTTTCTCTACTAAAGAATCTAGATTTACGTTCCTAGAGGTAATTCTCTATTCATCACTTTAATTCATGAATATATGATTAGTTGATTCAACGATATGATGCTTGAACCCTTTAGATGGAGGAAATTTTTATTTTATTACGCACCTCCATAGGATACATAATCCTTCAAGTCTCTCTAATCGGATGATAATATCACAATACATACTTAAACCATTGATAAGACCTCGGTTCTTAGTTTATTGTATAGTTCCATTGTTGTCATAATAAAATATTATTGGATCAACAATGCTAGGAACCACTTGTAGTCTAGATAGAAATTTACAAATTTAGATAACTTCCTTAGCTATTTCTGTAGTTGTAATATATTTAGCTTTAGTTATGGAGTTGGCCATTGTTTCTTACTTGGAACTCTTTCAGTTGACGACTCGACCATTCAATTGGAAAATGAATCCTAACTGTGGCTTAAAATTGTCATAGTCGGTTTAAAAACTAGCATCGGTGAACACTTTCATTACTAGTTCATCTCCTCCATATACTAGGAAGTATCTTTGGTTCTTCTTAAGTACTAGAGAATGCTTTTAACAATAATCCAGTGTTTTTCACCTAGATTAGCTTCATATCTACTACATATGCTCAAAGCATATGAGATATCAAACTGCGTACATAACATGACATGCATAATAGATCCTATGGCTAACGCATAGGGAATACAACTCATCCTTTTTCTTTCATTTTGTGTGTTAGGACACTCGACCTTGGAAAGTTTTATTCTATGTGAAATTAGAATAATTCCTATCTTGGATTTTTTCATACTAAACCTTTTTATTATTTTATCAATGTATGTGTTTTAAGAGAGTCCTAACATTTTTTTATGATTTATCTCTATAGATCTTAATTCCTAGAATGTAAGTCGACTCTTCCATGTCTTTCATGGAAAATTTTTTGGATAGCCGATCTTTTACGGATTGTAACATAGTGGTGTTGTTCCTAATAAATAGCATATCATATACATATAGCACAACAAAAAACAATTGAGCTCCCACTAATCTTCTTTTATATAAAAGGTTCATCCTCATTTTGTGAAAAGTCGAAGTCTTTGATTGTTTCATCAAAATGCCGATTCCAACTCCTTAATGCTTGCTTAAGTCTATAAATGGATCTTTATAATTTGTAAATCTTATTTACATGTTCTTTAGTGACAAAATCATTAGGTTGTGTCATGTAAACATCCTTTTTTATTTTCATTAAGGAAATCGATTTTGACATCCATATGGTATATCTCATAATTGTGGTATACGAGCAATAACAAGCATAATCCGAATGGATTTAGTTATTGCTACTCGGTGAAAAAGTTTTATCATAATCAACTTCTTATTTTTGACGATATCCTTTTGCCACCAATCCGGCTTTGTATGTATGTACATTTCCATCCATGTCAGTTTTTCTCTTAAAGACCCACTTACACCCAATAGTTTTGACACCTTTAGGTGGATTAACCAAATTCCATACTTGATTAGTGTACTTGGATTCCATTTTCGATTGTATTACCTCATGTCATTTTTTAAAGAAAATGTCTAACATTGTTAATATAGGTGCCCAAGATCCAACCATGTTTGGATGTGCTTGAGTTATTGTATTATTACAATAATAATAAAAAAATCTTTTTATTAATTTTTATGATTTTATGTTCATTAATTTAGTAAAATTAGATAGAAATCCATATGATATGCATTTACGATAGTGATTGATCAAAAGATATGAGACAAACACTAATGCATATAAATGATATCATTAAATATCCCAAGTCATAGCATTTTCAAGAATGAAAATTTGACTATATATAGTTATACTTGTGAGTGCTATGCTCATGCTATATGATAGCAGTAGGATATCTCATACTTATTGGCATGATGATGCAAAAGCAAGCACTTAGGTGATTTATGTTAGAGAACATATCACTAGACTTGACTCATCATAAGAACCCATTTGGTTTATTCTATAAGAATCTCATATGAGATATGTACAACTAGTCCTTGGACTTGAAGTCATCATG